AAAAAAAACACATCATAGTAAAACCAATACCTTCTCAGCTTCGCATCGAAGCTAAAAATAATCATGTAAATGTTTAATGATAAAATGTTTTTGAAAAACAATACAAAAAATCGGCTGTTACATGATGCAGTACCTACAATATTTAGCGATCAGTATTTTTTTTTTAATTATTTATAAAATAATTATTCAGTGTAGTTTAATTATTAAAAATTAATTAGTAGTTTACTTTTAAAATTAATTTTTTTCTCAGTTTGTATTAAATTGTAATGTCTTCGACTAGATACGATTTGTGATCTTTTGACATATCGTTGAAAGAAATCCGTTCGGTGAGAGCTGAGAAAAAGTGGTAACAGACACAAAAAAAAAAAAAAAAAAAAAAAAAAAAAAAAAAAAAAAAAACACATCATAGTAAAACCAATACCTTCTCAGCTTCGCATCGAAGCTAAAAATAATCATGTAAATGTTTAATGATAAAATGTTTTTGAAAAACAATACAAAAAATCGGCTGTTACATGATGCAGTACCTACAATATTTAGCGATCAGTATTTTTTTTTTAATTATTTATAAAATAATTATTCAGTGTAGTTTAATTATTAAAAATTAATTAGTAGTTTACTTTTAAAATTAATTTTTTTCTCAGTTTGTATTAAATTTAAGACCTAAAATTATAATTTCAGAAAATAAAGAAAAATGGAAATATTTTTTTATTTTATGTGTTTATTATATTATATAAAATAATTGTTAAACAATAAACTTGATCACTGAAAATAATTCATAGATTCCTTTCAACAAATGACTTATCATAACAATAATAATAATAATTAAAAATAAAAATTGTAAAATTTATTATATCTAAAATAATTCAAATTTTATAAAAAAATTAATACTATTAACAGTGTTAGTATTATTCACAAAAATTTTTTATTTAATTTTAGATAACAAAATTTTTCAAAGATAGCAGGAAATCATAGAATGATGTTCAACTTCTGGACCTTCGACTTTCCTATCATAGAGTGCATAGGTTGATCAAAGTGGTTATGAATCTTCTGCATCATCAAGTGATTTGATCATTCAAACTCCATTATACTTATCAAATAATACTCCAAGGTAACTGAAATTAAAGACAAAACCACAATCTGAAAAACGGAAAATTAAGGAAATAGGTAAGACTATAGTTGTACCGGATTTGAACTACAAGATATTATTTTTACCATAATTCAAAAACTTTTTCAATTTGGATTAAATGTCAAAGCCTTTGTACAGATATGGGTTCTAATTTTGTTAGTTTTAGTAATACAGTTAATGTAACTCCAGTCCATCCTTTTTTTATGTTAGTGAAAAAAAAATTACTTATATTTTTGACCTCCCACATTAGACTAAAATCTACAAGAAATATGTTTTTTTGCATAATTTTTCATACAATAATAGTTTAATAGAAAAAAATCATTTAATTTTTTTTTTATAAACAAGATTCTAAGTGTAACTTAAAAATGGCCCCTAAATTAACTCATGCTGATATTTTTCCTGGTCCATTTGAAAAAATGAAAGTTTTTTGGCAGCTCAAGTATTTACCGAAAATGTTGCAGCTGGAATGGAGATATATCTAGCCACTAATATATTACATTTTTCTTCTAAGTGTTCAAAAGATTTTATTAGAAATATGGATAAACTTTTTGATGTTTTCAATTCTTTTAAACAACCGGTTACAAGAAATTTGAATCGGTTATTTAAATTAACTTATTAACAAGAAAGTCATTTAAATTTAATGTTTAATTTTTTTTCTAATTTAAATGTAATTGATAAAAAAAAGTGGTAATGATGTTACAAATTGTATGAAATTTATAAAAGGTTGGTTAGTCTCCATATCGGGCTTGTTCTTAATATGGAAGTGTTTGAAATTGTCCAAACCAACAAGAAACCTACGTACTTTATATTGGAAGAATAAACCAAGATTGCCTTGAAAACTTATTTTGTACTATTCGACAGAAAAATGTAGACAATACAAATCCAACACCTTATCAGTTTTTATATACCTTTAAAAAAATATTTTTACTTATTTACTTTCAACATTCAGAAAATGCTAATTGTATTAATGATTTAAATTAAATAATTACTCAAATTCCAATTCAATCAGATTTAGATGTTAACAAAAATTTTTCAAATAATTATCCTTTTCAATTTAAGAAACCAACAGCCTTTTCCATTAGACCAATTGATTATAGAGATTTAGAAACTCCAGATAAAAATTCATTCATTTATGTTTGCGGTTATATTATGAAAAAATTTTTAATTCAACATTCTTTTGAAATATGTGTACAATATGCTAAAACTCAAAATAAATTAGATAATTCATTTTTATTATGTTATTTTAAAGCTTATGAAAACCAAGAAAAATCATTATTTGGAAATTTACAAATGCATCATGAAGATTTTTATAATTACTTGTATAAATTAGAAACCATTTTTATAGAAAGTTTTCCTATTTTATCTGTTGAAAAAGGATTTGGTGATAAACTTAAATTACAAATGCTAAATATTATCTATAAACATCCATATACTAATTTTGACAATGATTATCTTATAAAATTTTTTATTCGTTTCAGGATTTATTCTACAATAAAATTTCTAAATAGAAATTTAGTATCCAAAATAAAGTTAAAAATAGCAAATTAGCAATTCTACAACATTTATAAATTAACTTTTTTTCATCAACACTTGCATTTTTTTAATTCATAATTAACTTTAATTTTTTTTATTATTATTATTTTTTTAGGTGTTTTTTTACATGGAAGACTATTTTGTTGGAAAATTTAGAGATACTGTGTCATACTAATATTGTGAACATCATTTTTTATATTTTGTATTTTTGTATTATTTTTACTAATATATATTTTTATGTTTTTATTAATCATGAATTTATTACTAATATATATTTTTTATTCAATCTTCTTCTTCCTCGCCTTAATCTCAACTACGTGGGGTTGGCCACCCTCATCCTAAACTTCCACTTGACACGATCTCCCACATCATCTACGCTCATATCAGGTGTCCTCGTATCGCATTCAATAGCATCCCTCCATCTCTTTTTTGGTCTTCCTCTACCTCTTCTTCCTTCAACATTCATTTCTACAACTGTTCTTACGGCTTCTGATTGTTCTCTCCTCATAACATGACTAAACCATCTAAGTCTATTTTCTCTCATCTTATCCACGATTGATGCTACACCTATACTTCCTCTTATATGCTCATTTCTTATCCTATCTTCTCTAGTCACTCCACTCATCTATCTAAGCATTCTCATTTCTGCTACACTCATTCTCTGCTCTACTTTCTTATCAACCGCCTAACACTCTGAACCATACATTATAGCTGGTCTCACTACAGTCTTGTAGAATTTACCTTTCGGCCTCATTGGAATTCTTTAATCGCAAAAGTCACCAGACGCTTCTCTCCACTTCAACCACCCGCATTTAATTCTGTGTCTTACATCCTCGTCAATACCACCACTCTTTTGCACAACTGACCCTAAATACTTAAAACTCTCCACCTCTTCAATCACGTCCTCGCCTATTGTCACTGGTCTCCTTATTTCACCTACCTCATGTTCTCCTTTATCAAATTCGTACTCTATATTCTCTGTCTTACTCCTACTTATTCTTAAACCCTTTTCTTCAAGAGCTGATCTCCACATCTCTAGCCTTTGGTCAATTTCCTCCTATTAACACTATATCGTCAGCAAACAACATGCACCTCGGCACCTCTCCTTGTATTTCTCTAGTAATTTCATCTGTCACTATAGAAAATAAGTAAGGGCTTAAAGCAGAATCCTGATGCACTCCTACTCTTACCCGAAAACCTTCTGTTACTCCTCCCATACTTTTTACCCTAGTACAAGTGCCATCATACATATCCTCTATTATATTAATATTCCTTTTCGAGACTATATTTTTTTATTCAATAAAATATTAATTTAAATAAATAACATTTGTTGTTGTCGTACGTCGGACCTTGGGTCTTCTGGTTAAATGTTTCAAGTAATCCTTGTATTGTAGTGATCAACGGATCAACTTATTGACGCAAAATTCGATTTCACGAAATTACTTTGAGGGGCCGTGTCGGTACGAACCTCGATTTGGGCGCCAATTTTATGTCGTATGTCGGTAGTGCCCCAACGTAGACACAAAAGTTTTACACAATTTAATTAATGTTATATATATATATATTGACAATGAGTTCGTCGTTCAAGCTCTTCTCGAGTCCTCCCGTTGGATAAACTGGTCAGCCCCAATCCCTCTAATTAGTGGACTACTAAAGGGGTAGAGTTAAGATCTGTCAGCACAGTCTAGCTCAAAAATAGCAGACTGAAGGGTGGCTCCTTGTCAGCCACCAGCACAACTACCTTTTAACTATACCTAATAAAAAACGGTTAAGCCCAAAAACTAGCCAGCTCGTACACTAATTATTAAGATTGAATAAAGGACCAGTAGTCCAACCTTGACTCTAGCCGCACACACACACACACACAATTCTAAGAACACGGTGAATATAAAATATTTGCTCTAAGTCCAGGTTTTAAAATAGCTATTTTATTTAAGAAACGCATCAAACACAAAGTCAAAAAGTAATATCAAAAATGTAACACAAAACAAAATTAAATCGTACAAAGACACTTGCGTACACGTAACTCGACGTTTCTTCGACAAAAACGTCCCGCCCTCTATCCTTTTCATGTGTCCCTTTTATATTCTTTTTCCCACCATTATTAATTTGCTTACCCTGCATTTCCCTTTTATATGACATTGTATAGCTTGAGAATTTAAAAATTGCTTACTAATGCTTTAAACCCCATATTGTACTAAAATCGACGTTATTCAGCTATTTACTACATTGATTAAATTAATATACAATACCTTATTTGAACTTTTACAATTTCCTGAATAAATAATAACGAGAACGAATAAATAATGTGTATTTGACTTGATTGGTAAATAAATAACAGTCAGTACATCCTAAAAAGTTAAAATTTAATTTAGATTGTACATCATAATGATACCATGTGTACTTACCAAAAATTACAGCTTCATATATTATAGATATAACTAACTAAATATGCACAAAAAAAATTATGAAATAATAAACTTTACACAAAATTCCAACTTTCATACAAATTAAACACAATATTCATAATGTCAGATATTATTTAAAATAAATAAGTATACGAACAATTATAATTAATTATCGTTTAAGTATTTAAAATGCAACAGTTTTTCAAATTCCAATTTCATTGATAATTTTTGTAACTGATAGAGGAATTGTACAATATTACTGTAAAATTATTGTGCAATCATATCAAATTGTACAACGGTCTTTAATGCTTTGTCTTCTGACCAATCAGAGAGCTTGATTTTTTTCTATTGTTTTTCGGCCAAGTGAACCATCTGTTATCATATAGTCTGTGTTAATACTACAATGATATATCAGAAATGTGCCTTCCTGTTATCTAACTCAATTGATATTCGATAAACTTTTCTTATCAACAATTATCAATTTAAAACTCTAATTATTTAAAGTTTTTACATTAAATTATCCAAATAACATTTTCCCGTCAAAGAATAAAGTAAAGAATGTCATAACAGTATAATACGCCTCCTATTATTAAATTTTTTTTAACATATTTATAACAATGGGAGTACATGGACTCTGGAAATTATTGGAGACAGCTGGAAAACCCATTCCCGTGGAAAAATTGGAGAATAGAGTTTTAAGTATAGGTATCCATTTTTATATTAATTTATCATTGAAAAATTAAAAATTACCAATGAAAAAACCAGTGTTTTTTTTTTAAATATAAGCTTTTACAATGTTATTTGAAAACATTTTCTGTATTATTTATTAAGATAGATTTTATCGAAATCTTAATTATTTTTTCGTGGATAATTACTATAAAATTTTGTAAATATTATCCTTTATTTAGTTTTGAATTTTAATGGTACATAAATATTAGTAGCATTTATTTAATAAATGTTTAGTAAACTGTAAATGTATTTAGGATTAATAATATTGATAAACAAAAGTTTTAACACTATTTTTACGATTACTTTTATAATAACATTAACATGTATGTACTAAATATTTTTAATTTCACATAATTTGATCAAATTTATTATTAAAATGTTATCTATGCACTCATAAAAAAAGATAAATTGTGTTGTTTTTTTTCATCAAAATATTCAATGCGGAGTTCTTAATATACAATAAAAACAATTTCCTTAGGTGTTGTATTTGATAAGGTAATTAATTGAATTTTTAATTCTTTTAGACCCAAATTAAATAAAATTTAGGTAGAACATTTCCGTAATGTCTATTTGACTAAAAATGTTATATAATATAATATAATTTCTTACAAAAAAATTTTCCTAAAAATCTAAGTTTTATTATTTTTATTAAAATATTTTTGCTATCAAATGCTTGAGAATATTGAAATGTGTATTTTAATGTTGGTATGTAATCAACATACATATTCATAAAATAATGTGTGTTTAAGAATAGTGTGTAAGTAATAGTATAAAAAAATGACTAATATGTATAAACATATTGCAATGTAACTGAAGTCTGAAAGAACGAAACAAATGGTTTCTACGGAAATGTTTTTTCTGCTTTTTACAAAAAAATTGCTGCTCTATGGCAATTTATGAATCAGTATTTAAAAAAGTATCTGTTTTTTTTTGTACTATAGTTGAAAGAAGAGTGTAGCTAGAAACTCTTAGCATTTAAAATAAAAATATCCACATTTTTTTATTTCTAAGCCAGTTGAACATGTAAATAACTCAATTTATTTGAGTTTTTAAAAATTTTAGTTTGCCGACTTATCAACTTTAAATAGCTTTAACTTTTGAAACTATAATTTACAAAAATTTATTTCATCTCTTGTAAATAAAACATTGAAAAAAAACATTTATTATAAATTATTTATTTAAATCTTCTCCTTATTCTTCTTAAATTAAATCAATTTGAGTATTTTTAATGATACCATAAATTTAACTTATAATTTAATCTATGTTTTGGAAAATATCCTATTTAAGAAAATGGTTGGTGAACTTTTAAATTATTATTCCAGAAAAATGGGGTTAGGAGGCTGAAAAATTCCTAATGATAAAATTAGTCGTACCTTAGTCCCAATCTGTATTTTTTTAATTGGTAAAAATTTCTGAAACACTGGGTTCAATGTAGTTATTAATCAGTAATTTGCTTAATGTTTTAAAGAAAATATTAGTTTAAACAATTTAATGTATAGATGTATCAATATGGCTTTATCAAATAATTAAAGGTGTACAAGAAAACGAGCATAGTAAATTAACAAATGTACATCTAATTGTCATGTTTCATAGAATTTGTAAATTACTGTTCTATGGTATTAAACCAGTTTTTGTTTTTGATGGTGGTGTACCACAACTGAAAAGACAAACAATTGTGAGTAAGAAATAAAACATATAACAAAATATAAATATTTAACAGAAGTAAAAAATATAATTTTTATATCTAGGCCCAGAGACAAGCTCAGAAAATTAGAGCTAAGAAAACATCTAGTAGGGCTAAAGAGAAATTATTGAAGAATATGTTAAAACAAGCAGCTCTCAAAACTGTAATAAATCCAGAAAATATACTTTCAGAAGAAGAAATCATTAAAAAAACTGTTAATACATTGAATAAACAAGAAGAAAGTGATTTGTTTGAATTACCTAAATTACCAGAAAAAACTAAGTATGTTAAAAGTACACATATATTTAAAAAAAATTATTGTGACATTATTTTCATTACGTTTAGCGAAATTATCAATAAAGTTGAAACAAATAAAATAGAAACGTTACAAAGTTCAGGTTTCTATAAAGAAGATAGAGAAAACCTTCTTATGTTAGTTGTTGAAAAGCAAAGTAATGATTGTTTTAGTAATAGTGTTGATAAAGGAAAGTCAAGTGTAAAATTAAATGTGAGTTTAAACTATTTATTTGATGATTTTGACAGTTAGAAAAGTTTTATTTTTAATAAATAGTGTTTTTATTTTGTTCAATACAGTCTATACATTATAAACAATGCATAGCTTTTTAACTCAATTATTTTAACAAAACATTTTTTTATAATTAAATTTTAAACTAAAACTAAATTTAATGGAAAGATTTGAACTTTAATTCTATATTTCATGAGAATACCACAAATGGATAGAGAGTATTATACATGCTACCTTCTATCAAATAACCTATTGTTATTAAAAAAAAATTAATAATTCTTCAGACATTTTCTTCTTTACAAATTGGAGATTTATTACAAAAATATGCCGATGATCAAAAACACCTTATGAATCGTAAAAAATTACAAAAGTCTAAACAAGAAATGACAGTTAGTGAGATGGAAATGTTCTTAAATGGAGATAATACTTCTGTAGATTTAGATCATGATTTTGGGCAAAAACTTAACTCAGATCATGATACTGTATTTTATTATCAATCTAGTAAGTAAATATGTGTTTTTTCTAGTTATAAATATTGTTTAAGTGACATCTTTACGTTCTTTCAGGTATTAAAACTAAAAACTCTAGTAATTCACCAATTTTTAGTAAATCCAACAAGAACTCTTTTGGAAAGATTATTGATCAAAAAGACATTCAGTCTACTAATACTATTACCCAAGATATAATAACTCTTAGTGATGATGGTAAATTAAATTCTTTATTTTATTTGAGCTCATACACGTAAGTTATGTTGTATTTAAATTTAATATGTCATGAACATTTATATTTTAAATAAATAACAAAATTATTAATTATTATAATTAAAAAAAAAAACCCAGCACAGGGGGGTCGCGGCACAGTGGTGACGTGGCATAGTTGGATCAAGTAAATGATATCTGACAGTGATTAAAATCACTATCAAAAATAAACGCTTCGATGCAAATCTTTAGATAGTGTTTAATTTTAAAAAAATTGGTGTTTTATTCCAAAAGCTACTTGATCTGCTGGTTCCTTATTAATATC